GGAGAAGAGCTGGCATACCTCAAACAAAAAACACATGTGGGTATTCCTTCTGAAATTTTACATGCACATGTGGAAAATATTTTAAGGATATTTGAAACTTGTACTAATTTTCAATTTCCTAAAACTTTGAACCATTTGGAGCATCTGAGTCAAAGGTCTCCACTCAGTGTATATACATGCACATGTGGACAACATTTAAGGATATTTTGAAACTTCTTAAGATTTCCAATTTTTGAAGACTTTGGGCCATTTGGAGCATATGAGACAAAAGTCTACACTTGGTGTATTGTATGACTATGTTACCGCGAAAGATAATTAGTCCAAATCAATAAACATACATGCAGATTGTTTTATGTTTTACCACAAATATGTGTAGAAGTGTTTTCAGTTCACAGCCTATATATTAACAGCATAGATCATATTTTGCATACATTCAAATAATCATCTAAATTAAAAATGGACAATTTATGATAAAGCCTGTCTTAAATACATGTTATATAAATTATAAGAAAACAGTATGGACTTTTATGAAGCGTGAGTACTTAAGTTAGTTCAAAGTGGGTGGCATATTCTTTGCAGTAAGGTTACATGTTTTGAACGGATATTGCCAGTTAGGTATGATCTCCTAAAGGATAAACACCATCACTGATATAACCCTAACAATTCTCCTAAATGATAAACTCCAATGTTTCATCTAACTCTAACTGTTAGATTCTGATTATGTCTAAATAATCGAGAAGATGATGTGGATTAACTTGATATATAGAAGGCAGAAAAAAAACGAATGGCTACTTACGCTATACCAAAAGGCACACCACATTGTACCTGAAACCATTAAATCTGAATCAATGTTACCAAGCATATTTGAATGAAGAGAACAGTCATGTGTGATTCCGAGAACTGAATGCGCGGATGTAAGAATTACAGGAAAGGACATTGTGATTCGACATCAATTCATGTGGAAACCAATCAAATAATGTGAAATGAACATTAGCTCGATGGTAATCACTGAAACACAAATGGTGATATGCATGTGCAGGCTGGGAAAAATAATCATTCTGAAAACTGTAGGAAGCAATCACATCACCTGATTTAAAAAGGAGCAACAAAATTATACATAAAATAGATAACAATTATAACAGAAAATAGATAACAATTATTGCTCTGCTTTTGTTTGTGTGAAGACCTAAGGATGTAGAACTGTGTGGTTATTTTCAACTTGTAGTAGAGTATGTCCAGAGTCCTGGGAAATATTGATAACAATAACAACCAACAAAACCAGTGAAATTAACATAAACCAACTATATTGTAATGGGTGTAGTTTCCGGAAATCCCTTTTGGAGCTCGGCCTCCAGTGAGGCCACCAAATTCAAATTTAAAATTTCATCGAAATTCATATTTTTTTACATTTCAAAAAATTCTGTAAAAAAATACAGATAGAAATGAAGGCATAACACAAATGTGTGTAAATTTTCAGCTCAAAATACATTGAAATGAGGGCTGTGCAATATAAGACAAATCTGAGGCTGTTTAACACATGATACTATTCATCCTCCCAGGCCATGAATTAGTCTTATTTGTACAGGTTGCAACTCAAGGGATTTCATCATGAATTTTTACACACATGTGGGTTACATCCTTACATACACCCATATTTTTTCAGAATTTTTTGAACCATAAAATTTTGAATTTAAATTTTTCAAAAATAAAGGCCTCCATGGAGCTCGGCCTCCAAAACGCCTCTCTCATGTAGTTCCTCATGACAAAACCCCTGGAAAGACCTAGTTGACCAGAACTTGCCGTGACAAATACACTAAATGGGAGTGAGTACATCTAGTTCAATCTGGCAATTCCATGGGAGAGCTACTACTCTCCATATTAGTGCAAATAAAGTATTTTAAACTACAGCGATGTCTAAAATGGAATAATTGCATTTCCTTTCCAACAAATTTATTTTTTCACATTACCAGCGCTGATGAACCTACAACTAGACCACACTGTAACTGCCAGACCCTTCCTGCTCAAATGAATACTCCTTAGGGAATAAAAGGAACACAAATTGCCATTAAGAAAATGGTGACATAGCTAGCCATCGCAAGAGAAGTATTGAACTGGCCATGAGCTCAATTATTATAATTTTTTAAGTTTTTAATGTATCCAGATTTGTATTCTTCTATTATCTTTCTTACCCCTTCCATTGGAACATAACATGCTACTCGATTTTGCAAATATATATGTGCATAGGTCGTAAGTGGCCAGCTACAAAACAATTTACCCCAGCTACAAAATATTGATCTAAAATATGATTCAGAAATCAGAACACAACAGAAGTTCCACTTTTATCCAACTAATCCCACTGAATCCTTTAGTCAAGCAATCAGTCACGCCAAGATTCATGGAGAGAAAGAAAAATACCTGATGGACAATGCTGCTACATATCTTTAAGGAAAAATAGTAGTCGAAGCCACCATAGCCCATCATCGGTGCATAAGAATTGGACATAGCCACGAAGCCTGGAATGTTTACGTTGATCCCCAATTTCATCAGCAACCAACTTTAGAATCAAAATTGTAAATCTATCTAGGCGAGGAGGAGCGACCTGAGGTGAGTGGCACCACATTGTTGAGCGATGATGCAGAGGCGCAATATCATCGCAGGACAAAATGGGGCTGATCACCGGCGCTGCTGTTGCCTGGAGAAGATAGGAGGAGGAGGTGGCAATACGGGGAATCGGCGACAGAGAGCGCACAGAAGAAATGAGGCCGTTCTGGCCAATGGCGGCGGCCAAGATCCTATGGGAGCATGGGAGAGGGAAGAGGCATCTGAGGATGCGCTGGGCTATGACGGCAACGGCTCAGGTCAGGCGCGGTCGAGAGGACAGGAGCGTAGACAAGGAGGACAGAGGAAGGGAAGATTGGTAGGGGGGTTTGGCGGAGGCAGGTTACGTTCAGAAAGAGGAGGAAGCATCTAGGTTGTCTATCTTTGATCCGACGGTGCGTAAACAACAACTCAATCTTCTTTCAATTAGGAACTGTACTACCTAAGATGAATTTTTTTGCATTTGCGAAAAGAAAAGAAACAACGATGACCCTATGCTGAATTTTCCGTTGATGAATCGGACTATGAACCGCAGAGAAACAAGGCATGCGCCGAATAAGAGTCAGCATGTCTCAGAATTTTCAAATGGCAGACCCTATACAACCGCAGGGAGGGCGGATTGGCCACCTCTGGTGCTTCCGCTTGTTGCAGCAAAAAATAGTCCTTCACAACATTTAATCTGAACATCAGCAATAATTTTCTCGCGGTATGTCAAAATGTTGCAAAAAAACACAGCAATTCAAGTGCACCCATGCAGCAATTTTTTCGTGTCTACAAAAAATCCCCATCTTCGCAGCAAAATCTGTAAAAACAATCATCGCAACATATGCAACATATGAACCAAACATTTGCAGCAGAAAATGCACCTTTCCATAAAATTTAATGCACGACTCGAAAAAAGAAAGAGAAAGACCAATCCAACTTACGAACCTCAGATCTAGAGTGGGGGCAGTAATATCCAGCTTGTACGGCACAGAGATACAGTACATTTCAACAAACAGACACAGATACATGCAAAGCTTCAGGAGAGTACAGCACAGATACTAACGGTTAAAAACGATCCACTAATCAGCACTTCAGCAAAACAAACTATCCCTAGGTCTTTCCCTAAAAGGAGCCCATAACAACTATATATACACAAGGCTCCACGGTGAGCGTCACTGTTCTCCCGTGGTATCGCGGTCTGTTCTTCAGGCCCCAATCCATGCAATCACCCAGAAGAAGGCTCACCGCGAAGCCTTCTTCTTCAGTCTTTTACTTTTACTGGCACCGTATTCTCTCTTTATCTCTGACATGTCCACGCTGGGTCGCTTGCTGCTCATCCATTTGGCATCCCTAAACTCCTTGAATTTCCTGTGCTGCGTCAGCCAACTTGCATAATCCACGCCATCTTCGCATTCAACATAATCCACCAAATCACCCCACTCGGAGGAGTTCTTGTTTCCCAGAATGGACTCGAAAAAGGCCGTTCCGTCTACAGTTTTACCCCTGCCCAAATTGCAACATGTCAGAGTACAAATCAAATTTAACTACAATCAGATTTCGTAGGAGCAGCGTCTTGCCATCCCCCAGTGAAGCCACAGAGGCTGCCCAGTAAGCAGTTGCAAACAAGCTTAGGAAACAAGCACGCAGTACTAAGAATTATCTTTTTTTTTTCAAGAAAACGCAAAGGACTTTTGCGTTTCAGTTCATTGAAAAGAGATGTAGGCTAAGGCCCCACAAATAAGAAACCAATAGCATAATATGTTAAGAGACGCTTAGTTGTTTGCTACCCTTAGTGATTTTGACAAACTTGTTTTTACTAAAGTTATGCTAAGCCACAACTTTCAAGATGGCAATTACAAACAAAAGATATGTTTGGATGGGTTGCAGCAGATGCTATGCCTTTCCTTTGAACTAGATTTCCTTCCTAATTTTCTACTCATCAATTCGTATTGAAGCATGCAACCCACTGAAAGGCATGCACATGCACGGTTTAAGCAATAGACTAGATGGTTCCTATTGAAGCATGCACGATTTACATTTGTTATAGTAAGCTAAAAAAACACGATGTGAAAGAACTGTTAGAGCTTAGAAGATTATCTTCTCCATTGTGTACCTCCAACAGCTATATGGTTATAGAGGTTACCTGCTGTCCTCAACACAATCAGGCCGCGCCTCATCTTGAATACAACGTTTATGCACGTTAGTGTACTGCAAAGCTATTGATGTAGAAGATTTTCTACAGGCAGAACCCTGCATGCATGGTCATCGATTCAAACAAAGTGGAAATAATAAAGTAAAATAAGACAACATATAGATAGTTCAAAGGAATCAGATCAAAACATTATAGAAGCAGCTAAAAGTGTAACACCTTCAAACTATCCTCTTGGTCAATTGAATAGATTGCAAGCTCTTTTGAAGCAATAAGAAACTGAAATGCACTCAGACTTCTATCTTCATCAATCACAAGATTCATGGCCATCATGATCATGACAATGCAAGCTTTCCACAGAAAACCAAACCTCATTCTTAAACATAAGGCAAATAGGCTAGCAAAATGAAAAAGCATCTGCACTGAGGTGTTTTCCTTGTCAACAGACTTCTCAGCCATACCAAATAAGTCATGTATGTTAAGTCCATTAGCTTCATATTGCCCAAGTAAGCCGATGGTTTCAGATATGCGAAGTAATATATGATTTTCATGATGCCTGTCACCTGCAGCCCTCATTTCCCTAATAGAGCGAAGAACCTCTAGAAAAGAGGAACCCATTAGCCTAAGTACAGCAGCAAGGTAGATCATCTCCTCTGAAGCGTTAGCATCCGATTCATGTGTCTCCTTCTGCTTAGTACAATCCAGGATATTTGACACTATTTTGTTCACAACAATAACAGCTTCCTGCCTTGATTGTTCCGGAAAGATATGCTGGTTCTCCTCAATGAAGCTCACAAGAATATCAAAGGTATTCCTCTCTTTGACATGCCAGCCATCATCACAGTGCACCTTGCAGAACAAAAGCAGCCTATTGACCTGACAATTTAGCTTCTGATTAGTTGCGTCTTGGATACAAGAGTTAAGAAGTTTCATGTTGGCGAAGCGACTGAAGAGGCTTTTCACAGCATTAGTTCTGTGAAAAACACCCAAGTCTGGCAAGTATATCAAATAAGCATGCATGGCATTCTCAAACACTTGCAAATGCAGGTTCAGATCCCCATTGCCAACGCATCTGGACGCAAGCAATACAAAATGAGCTTGTGCAATAACAGGCATAGAAAACCAGTAGCTCTTTCGGACTAGGGAGATAGCTCCAGCCAAGCCAAGTTCTGGAGTGCGCTGCGTCGCCTTCTCAGACCAAGAGAGTGCACTAAAGAAGTGCTCAAATTCCGCCTCATCTTGCACCGATGAAATGAAATGGTGGGACATGAGCTCCAGCTGGACACGGAGCTCATACTGGAATGATATTGCCATGGTAGGGTCCTTTGGCACTTCCTGTATGGCATAATTGAGCATGGTGCAATTCCTCAGTTGGCTTATATCCACAAAATTCTGAAGGCACACCTGCAAGAACCGGATGCCTAATCAATTTCCAAATCAGTGATCTTGTAATTCCGCTTCTAACGATGGATTGCAATCCCTGAGTAATATATACAGGTGGGGGACAAAATCACAAGCTACCAGTGATTGGCCCATCTCAGTGAAACAAGTTCCTACAGCTCGTCCCTGGGCATTACCAGCATGGTTGGTTTGCTACCAATGTTCGGCTAGCCAAAATGTTGGCGATGCCTAGATTTGCCGACAAAAAAAATGCCAACTTTATGTGAGATTGGCAAGATAACTCTGAAACCAACCAACCAGTGGCCAATATTTGGCACAATGCCAAACATTGACATGTCAATTTTTGGTACTACCAAACCAATCATGCTCTACATTTTTGGTGGGCCGAAGCAACTAAGGGTGGGTGCGGGGGTAAAATTGATCGGGGTACCTCGAGGGCGGGGGCCAAGGAGGCGTCGGGGTCACGGGAGGGGATGCTGTGGATGAAGGCACGGAGGAGGCTGACGCATCTGGCAGCCAGGCCGGGGTCGGCGTGGTCCAGGCGACGCAGCAACTGGAAGCAGCAGCTGAGGAGCTGAGGAAGGTGAGCCGTGGGAGCGGAGGGCGGCGAGGAGGACGCTGCGGGCTCGTACTGAGAGAGCTTCGCGAAGGCCCCGCGCGCCAGCTTTCGGGCGCCCTCCACCTCATCGGCGTCGGGCATCGGCGGCGTGGCGGCGAGGATGAGAGGCAGCGGCGGGGATCGTGACAGAGAGTGGGGATTTCGCCCTCCCTTTTTTTTCTGATGAGGCGGGCCAGATTTCGTCCCTCTAGGCTTTCCTTTTTTATCATTCCTCCTGGGCTTCTCCACCGGCCTTATTTCACAGTATTTTTTTGTAGGCCCACGGCCAGCCCGCGGACTGGCCCTTCCCCGATGCATGATATTTTTGGCTACGTCTATGTATCGCCCGTACTTGATATTTAATAGGGCTCGCCTACAAGCCGCTACAGCAATAGGCCGGCCAATTTTGTTACATAGACACCCCCCCCCCTTTCTTTTTTTAACCTACCGATTTCTTTATTAATAATAAATGATAGTCCAATTATTCCAAAACTGGTAAACGTAACATGAAATTTTAAAAAATGGGAAGGGCACTATGAGTAACAGCGTCCAAGCTAGCCGCTATTGTGAACGATGTCCATGTCTGGACGCTAGTGTTAGCCGCGTCCAATGCATGATTCAACCAACGCACAGGAACCCTTGAATCGGTTGTCCCCAACCTAATATGCTTGCTCGTCGAAAGAAATGTTGATTGGTGGATCATAACAACGAGCGGCCGGTGAGACAGTGTCTTTCCTGTGATGATTGGCATTGTCGGTTGTAATGTCCTGAATGCAGTGTCGCGAGGCGAACATCGCACTCATGCATGGGCGTTGTCGGCTGTTACATTAGTAGACTATGTTTTGGTTGATGATAAAGTTAAATATTATGAATAGGTGCTGAATTTCGGTTAGTAAGTTTGTTTGAATCGAATTTTTGTTCATCATATTTGAATTTGTTTTTTACTCTGCTAAATTTACAAGATCAACTAGGTCCGGCCAAAATTTTGTGAAGTAAAAATAGTCTATTAATCTTTACTCTGCGGTTTACTCCAATATATTTTAAGGAATTGGCTAGAGATGGTCTTAGCTCTCTTCCTCCTGACCTCTCCTCTAGTATTTCCCCTCATGTAATTAGACATGATAC